GTACTAAGACTGGTAAATAAAAGCGTTAGTCAATTACGCAAAGCGTATTTTTAACCAACTTCAAAAAAAAGAGCGTACGTGCGTAGAGTTATGCTGCAACCATATTACTGGTATAGTTGTAGCACAGATGGGTCGGCTCGACCGGGGAAGGACCACGCTCTCACAGAATACCAGCGTAAAGTAGCAGCTTAACACTGCTGTGTTTCGTATGGTGAGTGTGGATAACCGGAGACCCTTTTTAATGGAAACGAGGCATTCCATCTTAGTCCTCACGGCTGACAACGCATTTTGATTCGTAATCGAGGATAGATGTAGATGTCTATGTACAGTGCCCACTTACCATCAGGTGGATTGTGTGCTTGTTTGTCACCCTTATACTATAAAAAAAAAGTCAATTTTACTGTATTTTTATGCATGTTATCGCGGTCTCTTTGCCAAAGACTATCGCAAGAGTGAATATTCTTTTAAATTTGAAGATAACATTCCATCCCTGATGGAAAATAAACACGTCAACAGAATCCAGGGATATTTTATTTTCATCAAATATCTAAAAACCTATTTTTGGATACAATAAATGGAAGAATTATTATTTTATATGAAATTCTTATTTTTTTAAAGAATTATTATTTTAGTCTTATTTTTTTTTTGTTTTAAATAAAAATGTTAATTTTTAATCGCCGAAAAAAATCAGTATGATAAGAAAACTAAATTTCTTCTTATAAAATTATTAATTTTAATTAAAATTTAAAAATTCTTATAAAATCTAATTATTCATAATCAGTGTTGCCACCTCTTACATTAATTACACGTCGACATCGATTGTTCATACTTAAAATTAAATTGTCAATGTCGTGCAGCGGTATGAGGTCCCATGTTCTTTGCAAGTGTTCGTAAAGTTGTTGTTCCGTCGTCAAATTTGGCGGGAAATCTCTCAAAGCTTTTCGTTGTAACATGTCCCAGGCATGTTCGATAGGATTTAAGTCGGGCGATTGTGCAGGCCAATCCAAAACTTGAATATCATGGTCTAGGAGAGCGGCCGACACTAGCCGCGCCGTATGGGAAGGAGAATAGGACGTAGGATACCTCCTAGTGGTATTTTTGTGCAGTTATGCTGCCTTGGATCCAAACTAGATTCGCCCGCCAAGACGAATTCCTGCCCACACCATGATTGTCCCGCCTCGGTATGAGTGGACCTCCTGAGGGTGCCGTAGACGGCTAACTCTTCCTGGACTTCTCCGAACGCGTGTTCTTCGTAACCCAATGATGAGTCCCGGTTTGGGTTTAACTTCGTGAAACCCAATCCGGGACTCATCGGTGAACAGCACCAAAGACCATTATTCGTCACTCCATGGTAAATGCTCCCGAGCCTACGAAAGCCGTCGACCGCGATTGTCACGTCGCAATGTTGAAACACGAAGCTGTCTTCGAGCATGAAAACCAACTCCATGCAACCTCCTTGCACGGTTTGCTCGCTTACCAGCAGCTGGTGATCCTTCTGGAGCCTTTGTAGTAGTTTCATCACTGTGATATTGGCTTGTCTTCTGGCGGTCGTTTGGAGAAATCGATCCTGTCTCTGCGTAATAACACGATATCTAACCGTGTGCCGTTCAGCCACATCTCCAGTACAGCGATAACGTGGCCACAACCTTGATATCACGTTTCGGCTGGTGTGTAGGGCCTCGGCAACGACGCGTTGAATAGCACCATTATCTAACATGCCCCACGACTCGTTAACATTTAATCTCGACTCAAATGACCACATGACGTGACTCTTAAAGCTCACACGGCACGTTAAATTAAAAAAGAAAAACAATCTAATCCCTTTTCATTAATTACTATCAGTAGAAGAATTTTAATTTTCCTATATAACGAATTATTAACTATTTTGCCGCCGTATTTTGTTTTTTCTTTTGGTTTTTTTTTTTGTTTACATTTTAAAATTTTGAAAATAGAATAAAAGAGATTTCAATCTATATATAAACTTTTTATGAAACTAAAAAAAATTTAAACTATAAAGTCGTAAATAATTTAGGATTAAGGTATCCCTAGATTCTGTAGATGTATGTATGGAATGAAATATTTAATGTAATAGAAACATGTTTTTGACACCTTGAGCATAAGTTATTGTTAGGTCTATTTAAAAGGGTTAAGCGATAGGAATTTTCTTTTGTCTCTGTGGTTAGATTCCACCCTCTTGTATATATTCATGCCGTTAAATAATAGTGCTTGTTGTACTGCATCTGAAGCGTACTACACGCTGCGAGGCATTCCATGTAAGTACTCAGTTATGACAACGCAGGCTTCTTTGTATGAAGTTGTCTACAGATGTCAATGGACCGCAGTAGCCACTTACCATCACGTAGGCTGTAAGTTGGTTTGTCACTTTGCATTGGCACTAGTATTATAAAAAAAAAACTAGCGATGTGCCCCGTCTTCGCACGGTTGATTTCTGGATCTCGACAACAACGTCACTTACCGCGTCCAATTGTGAATCTAAACCGTTCTCTAATCTACTTAATCACACACACACACACACACACACACACACACACACACACACACACACACACACACACACACACACACACACACACACACACACACACACACACAATGTCATCAAAATTAGTCCAGACATATTACTAGCGTAAGGACCGGGCCAACCGCGCAACTAAATGTCACCAATGCGTTGGCACGAAAATGACAGTTTAGGGCCAACGCGACTTTACATTACGCTAGGGCTGGATTCAGACCTTCAAAAATATTGTTTTTTTACGTGGTAAGAGCCAAGCTGTAGCTAGCTATATTTATAGTACAGTTGTAGCACGAATGGGTCGGCTCGACCGGGGAAGGACCACGCTCTCACAGAATACCAGCGTAAAATAACAGCTTAACACTGCTGCGTTTCGTATGGTGCGTGTAGAGAACCGGAGACCCTTTTTACTGGCAAAGAGGCATTCCATCTTAGTCCTCAAGGTTGACAACGCATCTGCATTTTGATTCGCAAACAGGGATAGTTGTAGATGTCTATGGGCCTCAGCAAACACTTACCATCAGGTGGACTGTGTGCTCGTTTGTCACCCTATTTCTATAAAAAAAACATCGAAAATAAAATTATACTTTTTTTTCCAAAAGTATACCATGTTTGACGTTTCATATTTTTTGCCATCGCCTCTATACGGGGGATTTTTGCGTCACGCGTCTAGCGTATCTAAAAGTTTAAATTTTCGGCGTTTTGGTTTTGAATTTAAATAAAATTGCATTACGATGTGTTTATAGCAAATTCAAAAATATTGTTAGATATTAAACCATCACATGAATAATTCCCGCCTACCCTGTCGTTGCCTGATTTGGTGTTACTGAACATACAGAAATTCTCGATATTGTAGGGTAAATATTAAAAAGTAAAAGGACCCACCAATAATACAAGTCGGTCGACGTGAAGATAAAATTATGGTATTTTCGCGTAGTATAGTGTAAATATTAAACACCAGGGTAAGAGCGAAACACCCTAACATGAGGTACTAAATTACTCTTTGGGGTTGTTTCATTTCTAATTTATGAAATGGTATTCTTGAAAAATAATTTTATTTTTATTTATTACGTTACTAAATACCTTCAGTGCAGCCTATAAATGCAACTCGGCACTCATGCAGTTCGTATGTGTTATGACAGATGGTACTACTTTTGCTTGCTTGAAGAAGGTACATTAGTAAAATGTTTAGATGGGCGATTTTTGCCTTTGAAATCATTGCCAGCCATTTAGGAGGAGTTCAGTTACATACACACGGATAGAACAATTATATTACATATAAACATTCCTCTTGAATTATTCCGTTTATTGATGAAAACCACATCAAAATCCGTTGCGTAGTTTAAAAGATCTAAGCGTACAGACGACGGGAAGCGACTTTGTTTTATAACGTAGAAAAATCGTAACGCGTAACTTATAGTTCAAAGTCACATACATGTAAATTTTGCTTAAACCACTAGTAACTTTAATGCCCTATTCCTATATACAAGAAACGTTTCGTTCTTCGATCTTGACCACAAGCTTGACCACAATCCCACCTGGTGGTAAGTGCTGATGCAGCCCGAGATGGTAAATCGCACTGTCTTGAATTACAAAAGCCTATGCACTCTTGCCTTGAAGACGCCTATATTGTATTCGGACTAAAAGACAGACGCTGGCAAATTAATCCACTCCTTTGCTGTACGCATTACAAAAGACGAAGCAAACCGTTTGGTTCTAATGCGACAAAACAACGTTTTGAAAAAAAAACTATTCAACAACTTAGGGTGATTTAAAATGATAACATGTTTAAACGCTGTGTTGTGTCTTAAAAAAAAGCGAGTTTTCATTCTTTTAATTTACTGTAATACAGCTCGTAAAAGAAAACGAAGCGTTTTTATATATAGAAACCCGGCGTAAGATATCAAATTTGAAAACGAATGCTCGTAACCGTTTATTTAACTAGATTTACACACCCATAGCTTTTTTAAGTGGTAAGTGGTTGCTGTGACCCATAGACATCTACATTTATCCTCGTTTGGGAATCAAAATACAGATACGTTGTCACCCGTGAGGACTAAGATGGAAGTAAAAAGGGTCTCCGGTTCTCTATACTCACCATACGAAACACAGCAGCGTTAAGCTGGTAATTTACGCTGGTATTCTGTGAGAGCGTTGTCCCTACCCGGTCGAGCCGACCCATTCGTGCTACAACTATACTACTAATATTGCTGCAGCATGGCTCTACCACGTTGCTATTTGCGAGTTGTTAAAGTAAGGATTTCTTCCCTTCTCCGTCGCATGCAAATTTGTTCAGCACGAAGTACTCTTTATCTTGCGACATTAACTGGACAAAAGAACCATTAGTTTAAGCTTTAAGAAGTCTTACATTTAAGATTAAAGAAATAAATAATTAACCTTTTCATAGGAGGCCTGTGCCCAACTGTGGGGACGTATAAAGACTGTAACTTTTACTGTTCATCATCAGGGTGTGGAGACGGTGTTCGATGTGATGGAGCTGGAGGACAACGCGCGCGCGAAGCTGCTGCAACTGTCGCCCACAGAAATGGCCGACGTGGCTCGCTTCTGCAACAGATATCCCAACGTCGAACTCACCTATGAGGTAAGTACCAGGTACTACCCAGCCTCGTCGTTGCTGGTATAGAGTTTGGATGATAGGTTATTTCTATAGTAAATCTAACCCTATTTACCGTGTTCATTCATTCCTCCATTACATGTCTTCGGAAGTCCACTGCTGAACATAGGCTTCCCCCAAGGAATACCCATGGTCCTGAGCTACCTGCATCCATCGACTTCCTGCATATCTTACCAGGTCGTCACTCCATCTAGTGGGGAGCCGCCCTATACTACGCCCTACCCCTGCCGGTACGAGGCTGCCACTCGAGAACCTTCCTTCCCCATGGATTGTCGGTTAGTCGAACTATATGGCGGGCCCATTGCCACTTCAGCTTACTTAAATCCATTGGCCTGTCTCGAATGCTCTGGTTCTACTGCGGATACCCTCCTTTTTTACCGTGTAGTGGCGGTGTAAGAATATCCACTATCCCGTATCATCCTGTGGGTGTCGTAGGAGACGACAGAGGGGAACAAATGAGGATATGGGCAGTAGCGTCGTCATAATAACGACTATAAATTAAAAAACTGCGGCTGCCAAAGCGTGGCAATTATGGCAAATATCCCTCCTCCCCCCCCTCCCCTACGAGATTATCTATATGGAAGCCCTATGTTCAGCTGGACTTAATAGGCTGTAACGGTAATGGTAAATCTACCCTCAATTGGCCGCCTGGTCGCTTCTCCAACATAACGAAGGAATTCGCTTCGCTTGTTTTTATTTTATTTACTAGTAACAAGATCCTCCGTCTCTCAGCATATAAAACGCAGATGTATAATGCTGCAATTTTAATGGTATTCTGTGAAAGCACGGTTCTTCCTGATAGAACAGAGCTATTCATGTTGTGAAATATAAACTGTTTAGTGGCGGTGTAAGAATATAATCTTTCTCTTATAATTCTTTCTATGTCGTAAGAGACGACAGAGGGATGATGGAACAGGAGATGGGCGGCAGCATCTTTCTGATAGTAACTCTAATAGAAAACTTCATTTGCCAACCATGGCAACCATGGCAAAATCCTTATGAGGCAATCTATAGGAGAGGCCTATATTTAGCAGTTGACTTTTGTAGATTGGAGTGGATAGATGGATAGATTAATGCTGTGATTTTAATAATTAATTAGTACAATAATTGGGTTGGCTCTATCACATAATAATTTATGGTCGTGTTCCGATATATACTGTGAGCACTGCTCAGTGCTCTCACTGGTGTAAAATTCGTTCCGTTATGGAGTGTCGGTATACTGCCGCAGCACCCTAGGGAAATATATGACGTCATCAACCGCCGCCATATTGGTACTGTGGGGACTGGCGCTTTCGTGGTAAGGTGCTCTCAGTACTTTGATCAAGTGATCAAAAAACATAACAGCGCCTAGAGATTTAACAACTTTCACAAATAATTGTTATTATTGTGATTTAATATTGTTATTTAAATCTCAGACATTGAGTTTTAAATGCATCAACATTCAAATAATAATTTTTCTTGTTGAACAGAAAACGTGTACATGATAAATATTTTAATTTCAAAACAGTGTCAAAAATGGGGATCACAGTATACTGGACTGCGTTCCGTTTTAAACAATGACCAGTATGTCAAATTAAAAAGGCACTCCTTCACAGTATACTGAATTGACGTCACACCTTACAGTGGTCATAGTGTATATCAGGATATACTCTTTATATTTATCAATTCTCTTTTTTTCGACCATACCGATATATTAAATCAAATTTTCTTTTGTTTTAGGTTAAGAATGAACGACGTTTGCGCGTAGGCAAACCCATCGTAGTAGAAGTGTCGCTGGAGAGGGAGGACGAAATCATTGGACCGGTGATCGCACCATTCTTCCCACAGGTACGTTACTATAGAGTGACATAATATTTGTGCGGGAAGTGAGACATTATCTACATGTTTTTTAAGTACACTAGGCTGTATCGATACAGTTGCCTTTGCCTGTATATACAATGCGCGCGGTGCTGGTTGCAGAAGCGCGAGGAGGGCTGGTGGGTGGTGGTGGGCGAGCCGCGCAGCAACAGCCTGCTGTCGATCAAGCGCGTGTCGCTGGGGCGCGCGGCCCGCGTGCGGCTCGACTTCGTGTGCGGCGCGCCCGGCCGCCACACGTACACGCTGTACTTCATGTCGGACGCGTACCTCGGCGCCGACCAGGAGTACAAGTTCACCGTCGACGTGGACGAAGCGCCCGCTTCGGACTCCAGCGATTCAGACCAATAAACCATTCACGTGTTAATAATAACTAGCCTCGTTTCATTTGTGATCCGTATTCATTAAGCGATACCAATACAGCATAACAAAAGTTCACGGCTGAATATTCAGATATAACTGTGTAGTGGCCTAGTATCAACATCCACTACCCCATATCATTCTTAGCGTTTCGTATGAGGTGAAATAAGTACCTAATCTGAACTATGAGATGGTAAGCAGCATTTTCTTGATAACAGCGAATATCCTCTCGAAATGTAATCCTTTTTTTATTCGATATATTAACTTTATTCGTTTATCACAGCATATTATTATCATACGATCCCTGCTAAGTATAGGGCTCTCGCATAAATTACCTCGTAGATAATAAGATATTTAACATAGTGGCCACGCTTGGCGGGCGGGTATGCAATACTAAACAGTTTTTTTTTAATAATTTTTCTTTAACAATATTGCACTCCTATGTCAATCTGATACTTTATTATCGGGCAAATAATCTTCACCTCTTTATAATATTATTATCATCTAGCTGTTCCCGCGACTTCATTCGCATATTATAATCATTGTTAGTAATTTATTTGTTTTGATTTTTAATTACTTTAAATCTATAACTACTCATATAACTATTCTACACATGTGATATAGGCAAATGGTGACGAAAAATAATCTCAAACATTCTGTCCTTTTCAGTATATAAAAAAAACTCTGTGGTCCTTTTTATCCTTTAAATTCTATATGCGTGGTAATTCGTTATTTAATTGATTTTATTACTCACATACACATTCAATCGGTAGGAAAAACATTGTTGCCCATAAATCACATACAATTTGGGATAATTTCAAATAAAATTAAAATGCTTATTTATACGGTATATCATTATGTATATTATATATTTACTTATTATTATATATTAGTATATTTGAACTTAAGTTTAAAATTTGGAAATGAAAAATTTCAAAGTAACTTATGGATATTATGCAATATAAAAGTATCAAAAATAAGTTAATTTCTGTTCCGTATTGTACTGGATAATATAACAAAATTATGCTTACTAAATTAAAAAAAAAAACATTCAGAAGTAAACGTAATGTTTGTTTTTCGCATTTTATGCGCTGGCAAGCCGTTCTTCAGAATGCGCTAAAACTATGTCAACTTATTGCTACTTATCATTAAATTTTAATGAATATATTACATATTACTACTAATTAAACTATATATATAATATCCTAATTAAACTAACAGTGGTAGAGCCACGCGGCAGCTTTTGCTGTCGCGCGGATGGGCCGGCTCGAACCGGGGTGGTACCACGACCTCACAGAAAACCAGCGTGAAGTAGAGGTTTACCTCTGCGTTTCGCTTGGTGAGTGCAGGTGGCCGGAGGCCCTTTTTACTGGAAATGAGGCATTTTATTTATTTATTTTATTTTTTTAAAAAACGTTACCCCCGCTCTAGGATTTTTTCCTGTGTCGTGGAGGCAGTTTACAAACATAAATTGCACAAGGACAAACATCCAGACCCGGAACAATTATTTGTAGGCCATACAAATACTTGTTCCGTGCGGGATTCGAACCCGCGACCCCCAGCGCAACAACTGATTGCTAAGCCACTGCGCCACGGAGCCGTCAACGCCGTCACGCATTCCATCTTAGTCCTCACGGATAACAACGCATCTGCATTTTGATTTGTAATAGAGGATAGATGTGGATGTCTATGGGCCGCAGCAACCACTTACCATCAAGTGGACTGTGTGCTCGTTTGGCACCCTTATACTATACAAAAAAAAATATAACTGTTCCAAATTTAAAACGATATTTCCACAAAGTTTATCAGTTTCTAGTGTATTATAATAATACACAAAACAATGCCTCAGTGGTTTGCTCTTAAATATTTTGCATATATTTGCCTCTTTGTTTTTATGCGTTTAGAAATTACCATAATTTGGTTTATTCATTTCTTATCTAATTAATATAAAATATAAGTACCTACCTAATGGTACATAATATGTCAAATGTTTCATCTTATTCCAAAGTGATGCCAACCTTGTGGCAGGAAAAGCCGTGAATGCATTATAGTAAAACAATGTCAAGGAACTTTCTAGAGTTGCTATCAGTGATTATATTCTATTTGGTTGCTATAACTTTAGGCAGATATACAATCTCTTTTCAGATTGAATCGAATGATACACCCACTCGTGTTGGAGGTCAGATCACTGACCGAGGGATAAGTGATATCATGATATCAAGTCAGGTCAACACGTTGTATCAGTCACGTACAGAATCCGATGTCAATCATTTTACTATCGGAATAGATTGGGCCCCAGATAAAGTACAGATTAGTCGTTCAATGTTAAATTTTTCGTGTTACATTGTTTTCAATTTCGACTTAGACTTTTACGTGGTAGTAGAGCCAAGCTGCAGATATATTATGGTTATAGCACGAATAGGTCGGCTCGACCGGTGGAACTACGCTCTCACATAATACTGGCGTGAAATATTAGCTTAATAATGCTGTGTTTCGTATGGTGAGTGTAGAGAACCGGAGACCCTTTTTACTGGAAAAGAGGCATTCCATCTTGGTCCTCACGGGTCGAGGATCGATGTAGATGTCTATTGGCCCATAGACTTACCATCAGGTGGACTGTGTGCCCGTTTATCACCCATATTCTATTTAAAAAAAACTACATTTGGCAAAATGTTGTATTCACTTAATATCAACCTCACTAACACATAGTAAAATTAACAAGTTAAAAATTTCGTACAAACGACTTCAATATAAATAAAATGAGAACATCATCAATGTAGTCGAAGTCAATTAAATACGCATTATTATGGATAACTCAATAACTAGGGGTCTACTGATTTCGATGAGTCTTTTTTTTTTATTTGAAAGCTGATGCTTCACTTGTGGTCACATATAAATTTGATCAAGGTCTGACCAATAGTATTTGAGTTATTCTTAATAATTTATATTGAAGTCGGCTGTACAAAATTTTTAATTTTATTTTTACACGTTATACCAATACGTTGTATTAATTTGTGGTAGGTACTAAAAACATTTTTTATTTTATAAATACGGGTGCCGTGTAGTGGGGGTGTAAGAATATCTACTACCCCATATCGTCCCTTAGGTGTCGTAAGAGGCGACAGAAGGAAACAAATCAGGAGATGAGCAGCAGCATCAATAAAAAACTGCGGTTGCCACGCCTGCCAAGTGTGGCAACTATGGCACAATCCCACCTATGAGGCAATCTACGGGGGTCGCCTGTTCAGCAGGGGACTTTAATAGGCTGTAATGGATGGATGTATAGAAGATAATCTACCAGGAGCCCATGACCCACTGAGAGGTGAAATTTTCAAATCAACAGTAACAATACAACTATAGCAAATATCCCCCCTATGAGGCAATCTATGGGGGAGGCCTATGTTCAGCAGTGGACTTTGATAGGCTGTAATGGATGGATGTATAGAAGATAATCTACCAGGAGCACATGACCCACTGAGAGGTGAAATTTTCAAATCAACAGTAACAATACAACTATAGCAAATATCCCCCCTATGAGGCAATCTATGGGGGAGGCCTATGTTCAGCAGTGGACTTTGATAGGCTGTAATGGATGGATGTATAGAAGATAATCTACCAGGAGCACATGACCCACTGAGAGGTGAAATTTTTAAATCAACATTAATATTACAACTATGACAAATATCTCGTCTATGAGGCAATCTATGGGGGAGGCCTATGTTCAGCAGTGAACTTTAATAGGTTGTAATTTAATGCAATAAAATATGGGTGACAAACGAGCATACAGTCCACCTGATGGCAAGTAGATGCTGTGACCCATAGACATCTAGGTACATTTAACCTCAATTTAAAATCAAAGCGACACAGATCGAAGTAACACAGATCAGCATAATGAATGACCGCTAAAATAAGTGTTGGCACTAACATAGTTCTCGATTTGAAGAAAATTGGTGAACGATAAAGTCCTCGCAGGGTGATTGTTAATATCCGGTTAACCTCTGTCACCTCAAATTGCCAACTTTCCATAAATCATTAACCCAAGGTCTTTAACTTAATGACTAAGAAAAAGAGGCGGAATTAAAGTCTATAGCCAACTATACTAGCACCTCATCAGCGCCCCTCTGGCGGCTATATTTTCTACCGACTTCAAAAAGGAGCTGGTACTCAATTCGATTGTCTGTATTTTATGTATGTTACCTCATAACGTTTTACGGAGTGAACCGATTTCGATGATTCTCTTTTTATTTGAAAGCTGGTGCTTCACATGTGATCCCATTTATTTGATCAAGGTATGACCAATAGTTATTGAGTTATACTTAATAATTTATATTGAAGTCGGTTGTACAACATTTTTAACTTGTTAATTTTACTATGTGTTAGGTTGATATTAAGTGAATATATAATTTATTATATGTAATTTACTAGCTGTTCCCCGCGACTTCGCCCGCGTGGAATTATTTTTCACGGAACCCTAAAATAAAAGCAGCCCAAGTTACTCCTTATAACATCAGCTATCTGCCAGTGTGTATAAATATTGACATTAATATTTATACGATACTAACGTCAATCAAATGCTTTGCCTTCCCGGAACCCCTCCACTAAGACTTAAAACTTTACGGTATGGTATTAAAGTTCAAATTGACTTTTAAGTATTATTACGAATCTTTTGTATGGGACTATAGAAAAGTGTTGTTTTTAGACTATTTCAGGCAATTTTATTAAAATTTTCCCGCCGTAAGAACAATCTTCGTACTTCAAGGAATATTATAAAAAAAGAATTAGCGAAATCGGTTCAGCTGCTCTCGAGATTTGCGCTTAGCAACACATTCAGCGTTTCATTTTTATATTATAGATAACTACGTTTTTCAACCGAGTTCAAAAAGGAGCTGAGGTTTTACAATTCGTCGGAATCTTCTTTTTTTATGTATGTACACCGATTACTCCAAGACGCCCGAACCGATTTGGAAAATTCTTTTTTGTTTCACAAGGTA